TCGTTTTTAACCAATCTAATTCACATCCATTCATACTGATTCACTTCAGTAGCATTATGACGATTGATCATTGTTATTTAGTAATAAAGTGTCGCTTGGGGTTTGACACACAGATCACCAGAGATCAAACGAAGGGGATTCCATTTTAAATAAGTAGATCACGTAATGGTAAATGTATATATTTGAAAAGAGAGTTACCTCAGCTTCTACAGAAGACGGTAAAGAAAAGCGAGAAGAAAAAATTAAACATCAACTGAAAGAAAGCATAATGCATGATTGTTAGCAAAAGAATGAGCAAAAATACAAATTACAAATCTGAGGTAACAAAACTAGACAATTACCTTTTAATTATCTGGGAAATCTTCTAACAGGGTATGGAAATTCTGATACTGAAATCCGATGACGTTTTTCGAATGCCAAATATATATTCTAAAAATCTAAGCAGAGTATCAAGAGACATAAAAACTGAAGAAAAAGACAACTGAACTGTTCCGTGATGTATCTCCTTCTATATGGCAGTGAATGCTAGACAGTCTAATCAAAGATGAAGAAGAGACTTGAAACGTGCTTCTATAGAAGGATGCTGAGGATACTATGGACTGATCGTGTGAGCATCGACGAGCTTTTAGAGAAAACGCAAACTGTCATCTTCATTAAAAACAAAGTGAAAATGTCAAACATCCCCATTCTTGCCAACTCGGCATTCCATCTCAAAGGGGTGTCTAATCTGAAATAATTTTCCAATAACGTTAGAAAACATTTTCACAGGATGACCAGAGTTAATAAGAAGACAAAAAATGCTAGGAAAGATTATTCTTCGAGCTCATTCGCGGAACACCAGAAAAAAAACGAACGAACATATATAGCAGCCTAATAATTATAAGGTTCTTTAAAAATAGTATCTGTTTTTTTGTTCCCTCTTTGTATGGGAGAGAATTGCTCAGTAGACACTGCTATATACGTCAATTTTACTGCTTTTCATAGCGGTTAAGAGTATAACGTTTAAATAATTTGAAATGACTATATATTTAACCAGTCATTCTTCAATTGTACGAGATTCTGCGAGCAGGAACTCAAAGGAAGGATCTCCGGGGTTGATTAATCAGGATCATAAGCAGTTTACGTTTAAGGAGATATGGTTTGCTTTGGCTGGGGGAGCAAGGGGGCATTGCGATTGGATTATGTTTCTTCTCCTACTTGGAAATATGCTTTGGCAGAAATAGTGTAACGTGTTTTCCATTGAACGTCAAAACGCAGATGAGAGAGTGTCTTATCTTGTATAGACCCGCGAGGTGTTTATGATCATTGTGTTTCGGTGCGAAAACTATATAGTAAGCCCCCACCCCCAAAAAACAAACAAAACAAAAAACACACCAAGTCTTCAACACTGACCCGGGAATATGGAAACGTGTCTCTACTTGTCAGTCACGTGGCACGGATATTTAGCCAGACATTCGGAAAAGTCGTGGCACGATTCAAGAAAAAAAAAACATTTTGTTGTTGTTGTTGGGATCCAAATAGCTTTCAGAGGAAACACGACTTTATGCAATGATTCAAAAAACATGTTTTGTCCTTTGTCTGTATAGTTCTGATATCAAGGCGACGATCGTCTATCGAATACATGAAAAAGGTTATTTCGTGCTAATGTTTGCTTACATTGCGTCAAAGAAAAACTTCTAAAATTTAAAAAAAAAAAAATAGAAGAAAGAAACAGATGCCAACCTGTTCAGATTGGGAATAGACATAATTATTATTCAGTAATTCAAAAATGATTAAATATTTTTTAAGCATTTCACTCCAAGCAAAGCGGAAGTGTCACTAATACTCAAGGGTTTACAAAGAATTGGGAGCAAGCGTGAAGAGGATTTATAGAAAAAAGGATGATGAGAAGCACCGGGAATTAGATCAAGGCATCTGAAGATGTTTATTGACATTGCATTGGAATGATTGAAGATTATAGGTATCAGGGAAGCAAGTAAGAGGAAGGGAGTTACACAGACGGGGAGAGCTATTGGAGTAGAAGAGGCGGCTACATTTAAAAGTTTCGACAGTGAAAGGGTGGGACTGAGATACCTACCTAGTAGCAAGTTTAAAATCATGCAGTTTGGGAACTAGTAAAAACAACTCGTCGGAGCAGTTACCGTGAAAGTATTTGTAGAAAAGACAGAGGGAAGCGATATCACTTGTGATCTGAATAGTAAGCCGTATAGTGATCAACTTAGACATCACGGGATATTCCGATATATACATTTTCTTTACCATCACGTGATCTACTTTAATTTTATATAACTTTGTATAATTCTAACAGCTTGTATTAGTGTAGAAAATAACTTTTGATATAAAACTGATTTGCATTCTAGCTTTATCTATATCAATCATTTTGAATTAATATAATATTATTTTTTTATCTTTATGATTACGTAAGCAGTCATTACTCATTGTATCTGAAAACACGGAAGGAACATTAAACGGTGTTGCTTAATACTGATGTTTTAAGGAGGTAGTGTTTTCTTTTGTGGGGAGCATTGCAACTGGATTCAGTTTCTTCTTTTGCTTGGAAATATTAAATCTATGGCATAAATATTGTGCCGAGTCCTTTATTGAAAATTAAATCACAGGTAAGTAATTGTCTTATTCTATATACGAACGTAAGACAGCATTGGAAAGGTAAGAATTCATCTCTTCTACCTTGATCTAGAGTCTAATAGAAAGGCCGACTAGGTTCTCTAGTCTTGGTTAGCAACTAGTATTGGAGAAGTTAAACTTTGAATCTAAAACTGATTGGTTTCGGGGCATGCTATATGTATATCAAGAGGATTTTAGAGTTTTTTTTTATTGATTTTTTTAAATAGAGGGTTTAAATCAATTGCCCTAACAACATATATAATATTATTAACTCACACATCACCATGTTATTATTCAGTTTTTTTATAAATTTGTTCTTTATTTATTTCTTAATATATTTAATTATTTAATTTATTTTATATATTATTATTTTTTTAATTTTATTTAACTTTTATTTTATTGGTTTCTGATATTATTATTATTAATAATAATTAGAAATGATGATGGTAATTGGATGATGAGTTTTTGCTGTCTGAAAATACATGGCTATTAGACCTATTACTGTAGCTATTTTAATTCTGCAGCCGATTTTGACATCGTTTAGAGGCACTTATTGATGCTAATGGTGATTTTATTGAATAAAATTAAATAATAGCTATTTCTTTATGTTTACTTGTTTGTAATCAAATATAATTATATTCATTTGTTCCGCAAGTTATTTTTACTAATCCATAAAATCTGTCCTCACATACCAGACGCACGCTTTATTAAAAAGTTCAGCCCTTGAAGTAAAAAAAAAAATTTCTATGTCAACCTATCGGCTCATATTTAATAATTCCTTCTTCCCTTTATTTTCTTCCCCTCCCTCATTCTCCCTCCTCTCTCTCTCTCTCTCTCTGTCTCTCTCTATTATTTTTTTAATAAAATTCCAGCCATGCCCAACACACGATGGAACGGAAATAACGCTCCTACTAATTATAAAAAGGACACACAAATAATTAACACAGTCTAAACAGCAAAAGAAATTAACAACACCAAAATAAAACACAGTGAAAATGATAATAAATTGGCTGAAAGCGTCTGGGACAATGAACGATATAAAGAGATTTTGCAAACCAAACGGAAACTTGTGAGAATGCGGCAAAATTAAATATAATACAAACTAAGGTTGCTGACCAAATATATATATATATATATATATATATATATATATATATATAATGGACTCTCCTGTCGGTTTCGACGTATGAGGATCTGACAGCTTAATTGGTTCAGTCATGAAATTTTGTGCGCTAATCTTAAGTGGCACCGGCTAGTGATTTAGAAGCCACATATGGAGCTAGGGTGAAGATTGTGGGATGAGATCACTGTTAGATTGGCTGACCTTTTAGATCTTGCTTTAGCTTCTTGGAGATGATTCAGACAAGCAGATTGAAAACTGCTGAGTCCACTAAAACACGTTGATCTTCATTCTACCCGCTCCAAGGCTAAGCCCTCAAGTATATATATATATATATATATATATATATATATATATATATATATATGTGTGTGTGTGTGTGTGTGTGTGTGTGTGTGTGTGTGTGTGTGTGTGTGTGTGTGTGTACGTTGCATTTGTTATAATTTCTGGTATGTTTTTAAAGAGATGGATTCAGAAAGCAATTCAAAATAATTGTTACTCGTAGAGGAATGGTTAAATGAAGTGTGCTCAGATTTAAAACCCTTCCCACTGATGGTAGATATTTGTAGTATTTATTCCATAGGCGACACAGTGTATATGTTGTAGTTAAGGATTATGGATCGGAGAAAGAAAGAAAGAAAGAAAGAAAGAACGGAAGGATAAACGAATGGAAGGAATCCAGAAAGGAGAAGAAAGGTAAGACGAAATGCAAAGAAGGAAGGAAGAAATGAATGATGAAAGCGAGGAAAAAAAGAAGGAATTGAAGAAAAAAAAGAAAGTGGAAGAAAGCAAAGACGGAATGTAGAAAAACTAACGAAGAAAAAATGAATGGAAGAAAAAAAAAAAAAAAACGAAAAAGTAAAATGAGAGATAAGCAAAAAAGAAAAGATGTAAAGAAGAAATAAATGATGACAAGAAGGAAAGGATAGAGAAATACACGATAAAAAGAAGGAAAAAAAATGAAGAAATAAAGAAAAACATCGAACTAGGTAAGAATAAATTAAAGAAAAGAAAGAAAAAAGAAAAACAGAAAGAAGAATAAAAATGAGCGAATTATTGAAGGAAAAAAGAAATGAAGTTGAGAAATAAAGATGAATTAGATATGAATGATAGAAAGGAAGGAAAGAATGTACAAAAACAAACGAAATGCATGAAGGAAAAGAGAGATAAAGATAAAAGAAGAAAAAAAGAGCCAATTATAGAATAAAAAGAAGGAATATTGAGAAGGAAAAACTAATGAAATCATAAATAATAATTAATATAAAAAGGAAGAAAAAATCGAAGAAAATGAAGGAAAAATAAAAGGACTAAGGAAGGAATGTCGGAAAGAATGTAGAATAATCAAAAGGAAAGACTGAAGAAATGGATGAAAAAGAAAGAAAAGAGAATGAACGAAGAAAGGACGGTTGGAAGGTAGAAAAGAAGACAGAAATGAGAGAAAATGAAGGAAAAGGAAATAAGTACAGGAAAAAAGGAAGGAAAGAAGGTCGAAAGATATAGATAGGTAAAAATATCTATATATAAAACAGCGGATGCCTGTTTGTCTGTCTCTGTGATACCTTTTCATTCGAGATCCATCCAACCGATTTTGACCAAAATTGGCACATACATTGCACAATATAAGAGATAGGTTGTTACCGTAATAACTCGATAAATTTTAAAAAGTCAATAATCGATAAAGCCGATCAAAAATTGATAAATTCAACTTTTTTCTTTCGATTTCTTTCAAACTGGGTATGAAGGTTACTTACATCATGATGAGCTCAACACTACCTCGTTTTCATTTCTACGCCACTTTGTTTGGCGAAAAACCACGAAAAATGAAAAATCGATTTGAATACAAATTCTAAACTAAAAAAAAAATCTAATAAGCAATCTAATGCAAACTTCACTGAATTGTAGCCAACAATAAGTTAATTGTTTAACAGTCACTTAGCAGGATAACTGAGTCCACTCATATAGTGAAAACCCGCGTAAATAGCGAAAAATGGCGATTTTTACGTGTTTCTTGTTTATTTTTCGTTGATCTTTCAAGCAATTATCATCAAACTTAACGACTGCTTTATAAATGTATCCTCTTTTTCACCCCTGTAGCACACTGACAAAATGAATTTCGAAAACTCCAAAATAATTGTGGTCGGAAGTGAGTCTTTAAGCTGTCTGTTTTACCCCTTCATGTCCACGACTAACTTCAATTGAATAAATACAGACTACTTCTATTATATTAGTAAGTGCATTAATTCAAAATGTTTTTAACTAAAGTACTTTAAAGTAATTGTAGAAGATAAACACTGTTCCATCTAAACATGATGTTGTTTTTGTTTCATTCTAATTGAACGCTTTTTCTGATTGAACAACTGGGTATGGCTGCTAGTAACATATAAATGAAACAAAATGAAAGAAAATAGAAAGAGACAGAGGAGGGGAACATTTTATAATATAAAAATAAAAGATAAAGGAAAAAAGAGGGAAAAAGAAGTAGAACTGAAAAAATTGAGAAAAACAAAGTGTACAAAAAAATCCCAAAATATAATTAAAAAATGGTATACTTTAGTAAGAAAAAGTGAACTGCCAGAAAGAAGTTAAAACGAGAAAAATAAGGAAAGGAAAAAACGAGAAGAATTATAAGATAACATCTGAATTGTTACGTAATGTCTTCTGAACGCCCGAAAAAATTGACGACAGAGGAAGATAAAACTGGAGGCAAGAGAAATATGTCTCTACAGAAAGATGCTGAGAATTCCATGAACGGAGCGAATAGGCAACGAGGAAATAGTAAAGAAAAATGCTAAAAAAACGAATAATTATACTCACAATCCGAAAGATACAGATGAAATTTCTTCGACAAATAAAGAGGAAAAAGGGTTTGGAAGACTTAACAAGCATAAGGTATACTGTTTGCAAGAGGAAAAGGGAAAGAAATCGCGCTCTTTAGCTGACGAGCTTCGTGCGAGGGCATAGTGGGAACAGCGGAGGGAGCCTTGAAAATTAGAGAAACTATACTCAGGCTAACGAGAGATAAGAAGTTGAGAAGAGATCTCATCGTTCATGTCCAGAATGGGCAAGGCACACAAAACTAGAAAACAGAAAATAAAAATTATGAGAGAGAAATGCTTTTTAAAGACTAATAATAAAGAAACTGAGAGCGCAATAGTATAATAATAATAATAATAATAATAATAATAATAATAATAATAATAATAATAATGATGATAATAACAATAATAATAATAATAATAATAATAATAATAATATTAATAATAATAATAATATTAATAATAACCGCTTCATGGCCAATACTCTGCCCGTACCAAACAAGCTGACGTAGACAAAACCCGTACCAATCAGTGGCTACGTAGTGCAGGGTTGAAAGCGGAAACTGAAGGTTTTATCCTTGCTGCACAGGACCAATGCTTGTTAACTAGAAATTATCAAGCACATATACTAAAATATTGTGTTAGCCCAAAATGCAGATTCTGTGATAAATATCCAGAAACAATTGATCATCTAGTATCAGGTTGCACAATATTGGCACCCACTGAATATAAAACCCGGCATGACAGAGTGGGCCAATATCTGCACTGGAAAATTTGCAACTTCTACGGGAAGGAAACTGAAAGAAATTGGTATGAACACCACCCAGACCCGGTTACGGAGATAGGACCTGTTACAATTCTATGGGATTACACAATACACACTGACAGAACAATCAAAGCTAACCGCCCAGATATTGTTATTAGAGACCACAAACAAAAAAAGTGCCTCCTTATTGATAAGGCAGTCCCTGCTGACTGCAATGTATCTTTGAAGATATTCAAAAAGCTGTCAAAATACAAGGACCTTGAAATAGAAATCTCGAAAATGTGGCATATGGGAACATCAACAATCCCTGTTGTAGTTGGAGCCCTAGGACTGGTTGGAAAAGATTTCCTTAGACTAATTGAAGGGATTCCTGGGAGCCCATGCCTCAAGGTGATACAAAAGATTGTTTTCACAAGTACAGCCACACCTTTTACGAAGGGATTTATCTAAGTAATTTTTTTTTGTCGGTGGAAAGTGTCATGATGCCATTTCTAACCTTAGGTTAATAATAATAAAGAGAAATTAAGAAAGGACCAAAAATATTAGAAAAGAAATGAAAGACAAAAAAGGGGAAAAGAAATAAGAAAAAAAAGTAAAACAGAAGACATTTAAAACGGAATGAAATAAAAAAGCACATTTAAGACTAAAAAAGATTAAAAAATGAAAGAAAGACATTTTCAAATTAACTTGGATGACTAATTAAGGAAATAAAAAAATAAGTTTTAGGGAATAAAGAAAAAAGAAAGACAAAATGAAAGAAAGACAGGACGGAAGAAAGAAAGAAAGAAAGAAAGAAAGAAAGAAAAGTATCGCGTTTGAACGATAAAATAAAGAAATTACTAAAGAATGTTATGGTGGGTCACGGTGTTGAAGAAAGAAAGAAAGAAAGAAAGAAAGAAAGAAAGAAAGAAAGAAAGAAAGAAAGAATAATGATAAAAGTGACAGCAAGTGGGGAAAAGATAGAAAGAAAGAAGACATTTCTGTAGAAAAAGAATCAGCCATAGAAAGGGAAAAGTAAAATGTAAGAAGTAGTAAAGGGAAAAAGACAAAGAAGAAAGATAATAAAACAGTGGAAGAGAAATAGAAAAAAAATCAAAACAGAATGACACTACGAAAGAAAGAAAGAAAGAAAGAAAGAAAGAAAGAAAATAAAAATGACCAAAAACTTCGGAAAATAATCGTAGACGAAACTGAAATACAAATGAGCAAAAAAAAAAGAAAGAGAAAAATGGAAGAAAAAAATGAAAGAAAATAAAAGCAGTTTTAAAACATCGAATAAATGAAAATATAAAAATATTAACATCCAAATGAAAGAAGCGACGCGAACGTTTCTATTCTTTTCTATAATTATTCCCAAACGGACAATCCTTACTTAACTTCATCCAATGTAGCAAAGTCGAATTTCATCCTTAGTTTGCTTTCATAGATCACTAATGTTTATCAATTCTTCTTTCTCTAAAATATCCCAATTGCTTTTATGGCAATGAAAAACGCTGTGCAATAACTGTCGATCACGAACGTTTTACCGCTTTAGAATTAATAAAAATAAAATAGGAAAGAATTGAAAGAAAAAGTATAAAAACAAGACGATTCGATTCAGTATGGAACGTTAAAATACCGCTTTTTACTGTTTAATTATATGAAAAATGGAAAATATGAACGAGTTTTGAAAATTTGTATTAAAAACGTTTGGCGCCTGCGGGATTTTTAGCAATGGACATATTTCAAAAAATGCTTGGCGTCTGTTTGCTTTTTTCGAATAAAGAAAAAAAACGTTATTTTCATTAAGATAGATGGAATAAGAATGGAAAGAAACCTAAAAATAAAGTACAGAACGAGACTATAAAAATAGATAGCGTTTGAAAGATAGAAACAGAAATAAGAATTGAGAGCTATGAAACAAAGAATTATTATTATTATTTTATCATCATCATCATATGAATTTGCGGAAAGACCTAAGGCAGGTCGTGGTGTGTTGTTTGGGAATGTTAATTTTTTTTTTTTTTATCAATATGAACGAGCGTTACATAGACAAAAGTGTGTGTGCTGTATAATAAGACAAAACTGGGGTTTGGATTCTTTCCTGTTGTTTTTTTACCAATGGATTTCCACATTTTTTCTATTTCAAAATTTTGATAGTTTTTCAAATTCCTTGGTTGCTATGTTAAATCCGCTGGACAAGCCATATATCAATTAGTAAGTTTTTTTCTTTCTGGTTTTTCAATGATGTCCGGCCTATTTGTTTTTTTTCTGTCTGTGTGGATGGTTTCCCATAGAATGGTGAAATTTCTGTAACCGGCGCTGGCCGATGTTCAAAAGTGTTTAGTTATTTTCCAAAGTGTTTGCACATTGTCCAGTGATAGATATCGTGACGATTTTATATTCATTTTGAGAACATCCTGAGAAGATGGTCTATTGTTTCTTGGAAAGAAACATTTTGATCTATTATGTAAAATGAAAAGTACAGAAACGAGACTGCAAGAATAAAAGTTTAGACTTTAATCCAGATGCTCGTAACCATCGATGAGTAAACTTTAGAAACATTGGGAACGTTCTGGAATTGAGAGGTTTGTCTTAGCGTTGTTTCATCTGTTCAAATCCTTGGCTTTCTTTTTCATATCTTTATGCAATAGTTGGTTTATTTTTATTTTATTATTATTATTATTATTATTATTATTATTATTATTATTATTATTATTATTTGTATGTTATGTTTCCTGCTTTATATCCTGTAGAACGGGATCAAACTATGGTCCTTAGACCTTATAGGAGAATTGTCATTTAATTGCTAGCACTTTTCTTAGTATATGGCATGTCCCTAGTAGGACGATCTACTGGGCAATCAGTATGTTGATGTCACCTGGGACACTGTTAGTAAAATTGCCCATTTCTTTTCTTACAAGTCCTAGAGCTCTGATTACTATTGGTACAGTCTTAGTCTTCATTCCCCACATCCTGTTAATCTCGATCTCCAGGTCCTTGTTTTTGGACAATTTCTCAATAATTTTTATGGAGGTGTTTCTCCCAGATAGTACTGTACTGCTATGTCAATAAATTATTATTATTATTATTATTTTTATTTTCTTTGATTTCTGGCGTTTACACATTTCTTTCCGGGTCCCGCCCAGGGACCTAAGGTTAGAAATGGCGTCATGACACTTTCCACTGAAAAAAAAAAAAAAAAAAAATTACATAGATAAAGCCCTTCGTGAGGTGTGGGCTGTACTTGTCAGAACAATTTTTTGTATCTCCTTGAGGCATGGACTTCCAGGAATCCCTTCAATTAGTCTACTGTAATCTTTTCCAACCAGTCCTAGAGCTCCAACTACAACAGGGATTGTTGATGTTCCCATATGCCACATTTTCGAAATTTCTATTTCAAGGTTCTTGTACTTTGACAACTTTTTGAATATCTTCAAAGATACATTGCAGTCAGCAGGGACTGCCATATCAATAAGGAGGCACCGTTTTTGTTTGTGGTCTTTAATAACAATATCTGGCCGGTTGGCCTTGATTGTTCTGTCAGTGTGTATTGTGTAGTCCCATAGAATTGTAACAGGTCCTATCTCCGTAACCGGGTCTGGGTGGTGTTCATACCAGTTTCTTTCAGTTTTCTTCCCGTAGAAGATGCTTATTATTATTATTATTATTATTATTATTATTGAACCTCTCCGATTCGTGAAAGTTTCAGGAACGGCTGTTCATATCTTGGCTTCACGTCGTCGTTGTCGGAAGTCCTTGCCAATTATAAGGGAGCTCATCGACATTTCCTTCTGAGTGTAATGAGTCCTATATTGGATATGAAGAGAAGTCCATAGCCCCTCATGGTAGTGTACGAGTTGTTCAGAGGGATGGAGAGCTTTGACTTTTCTTTGAGCTCTTTTCGACTCTTCCATTTGTCTTCTGTGGTTTTGGAAGGATGTTGTTTTTTGGTAGGACTGCTGTTCTCCAGTTGGTTCTTTGAGCATGAAAGCCGTGGCTGCGAATTTTTTGACATGGGCAATGGGTCGCCACTCCCTGACACACAGTTTTCAGCTGACACTATCCGCTGCGACAAACCAAGGCTTGACAGGCCGGTCCATAATGACAGTATCGGGCTGCCGACTTGTTCTAATCTCGGCTCCTATCTGCAACTTAAAACAACTTTACTTGGCACAAGTGTTTTTCTAAGCAACGTTTCTACCTGCGCAGACCCAATGATACCGGGTACCCTCAAAGCGTCTTGCAAGGCATAGAGATTGTTAGACTATTATCATTAATATGTTAATATATTATTGATATTACTACTACTACTACTACTACTACTACTACAGGTAATGTAAAAATATCGTAATAAAATAACGGCCGCAGTTTGATTTGATAGCTCAATCTTTATGTATCATTTCCCGTTTGGTATTTCTGGATTTATGTTCAGCTATAATTCTAACTTGTTTTTTATATACAGTGATATTTTCTTCCAAAGACAGTAGCTCATTTTAATGAGCTGTAATATACTGATAATTTACTTTAATCATTAGATACCTTAATACACAATTTTTTTTCTCTTGAAAACCCTCTTTTAAAACTGACTTTGACTAATAAGCACAGGCATTTTTAATGCTAGTAAAAACGTTGTTGAAATAGCAGCCACAAATTTGTCATTTAGAAAAGAGTACTCAAATATTATCTTATATGGAAGTGAATGCAGAACAATCTCTTCATAAAGGAAGTAGAGGCTTTTTAGAAAGAGAAATAAGGTTTCTAATTAAAGGTGCTGAGAATTCCATTGACGAAACATGTGAGTAATGAGGAATATTTAAGGAAAATAGAAACAAATAGATGCTTATGTTTAGAGTCAGAAACAGTTGACATTTCTAGGATGCGTAATGAGGAAAGGAGGCTTGGAGAATTTGACACACACATGATATACTCAATACAAGAGAGCAAAGGGAAACAACGAGTAACCTACCTATGGAATTTGTGTAAATGCATATGAGCACAGGAACAGGGAGAAGCAGGGATAGTAAAACAATAAACATTCCTAAGAGCTAAAAAATAGGAAGTTGAGGAGAGACATATTCACCCACTTCTGCAAGTATTTCGGCAGATAGTATATAATAATAATAATGAAGCCAATAATAAAAAAGGAATTCAACAAGTTCAAAATAGAGTTTCAAGTGAGTGAAAAAGTGCAAGTGAAACATAATACACCGAGTTGCAAATTCTATGGGGAAGAAACTGAAAGAAACTGGTATGAACACCACCCAGACCCGTTTACGGAGATAGGACCTGTTACAATTCTATGGGACTACACAATACACACTGACAATCAAAGTCAACCGCCCAGACATTGTTATTAAAGACCACAAACAAACAAAAAAAAAAGGTGCCTCCTTATTGATATGGCAGTCCTTGCAGGCTGCAGTGTATCTTTGAAGATATTCAAAAAGCTGTCAAAATACAAGGACCTTGGAATCGAAATCTCGAAAATGTGGCACATGGGAACATCAACAATCACTGTTGTATTTGGAGCCCTAGGACTGGTTGGAAAAGATTTCCTTAGACTAATTGAAGGGATTCCTGGAAGTCCATGCCTCAAGGAGACACAAAAAATTGTTCTGACAAGTACAGCCCATAATTTACAAAGGGCTTTATCTATGTAATTTTTTTTTTTTGTCAGTGGAAAGTGTCATAGGTCTCTGGGCGGGACTCGGAAAGAAATGTGTACAGGCCAGAAATAATAATAATAATAATAATAATAATAATAATAAGTCACTACGAAGTAGATACAACATGAAATTACAGTGGTATCTCTGGTGTCAATCGTGTGTTAATTTAGGTGATTTATGTTGGGAGTGGCGTTATTAGGCAGCAGGAAAAACCTTTCCTTCGACCTTCTAGTGTTTTACAACAAACAGTTTCCCCAATTTCCACAGTAAACCTGACCATGCGGTATGAAGACCCCGAACAGTACATATTTTGCTTCCAAGAACACAGTTGCAAGCCTCTGTTTCACTGTCTACTAGAGATGGAATTTTTGGTCAATGATGATTGATGCTTATAGGTCATCAAATCAACCTTCTTTTTCTTCCTCCGGAGAAATGTGAGGTGCCTAGGTCTAATCCCTACTGATCATCTACTCCAGAAAGTCTTCATTTGATAACCAATACACTGACTAAATTTATAAGAAATTGCACCAGTATATGGTTCTCCCGCCAAGTGCCTTGGGATTGAAGTTTGGACGTTTGCCCGTGGCATGTAGAATTCTCATTACCCACCCACCACATATCCTCTTGTGATATTTTTATGGTGTCAGTCGTCTCT